ATTAAACACTATCTCAAGTACCATCTCTTGGGAGTAATAAAAAAGTAATTAAAAAATAAAAGCTCTACAATTAATTCTCTCATAAAAATCTATCAATCTATTCCTCTGAGTCCATAGTCTTAATTCCTATAATTCTTTTAGCAACACTTCTAACACTGTCTTTTCCTTTGCTGCAATTTATGGGGAAAGAAGTGGTTACAAATTAGCTGTTATAATCCTATCTAATAAAGAGAGAATATGCAAATTGACCATCATGCAGCAACACCCACAGCCAATCAGGAGGTAACATGCAAATTAATTTGACAAAGATGGTGGCAACTGAAGACCAGATACTTGCATCCCTGCCCCAGCCACTCTGGACCTGTGGGAGATGAAGAAGTTGGGGGAGACAGAGAAGCCGGGCGCCAGTGCCTGAGGCTGGCTATGGCCGGGAGATGAAGAAGCCAGCTGCCTTGTGATCCCAGGCCGCAGCCAACCGGGGAAGCTGCCTGCCCCACATCTGCCCAACCCACTTCCTGTGGGAGACAGAGAATCTGGGCACCAGTGCCCGAGGCTGGCTGTGGCTGAAGAAGCCACCCACACTGCATCCCAGGGGAGATGGAGAAGCCACCCACCTGTGGTCCAGGCGTCTGGGGCTGGCTGCAGCCCAGGAGACAGAGAAGCCACCCACCCCAAGGTCTTAGGCCGTAGCCACCGGAGAAGCTGCCAGCCCTGTGGGCCCAGGAGATAGGTTCCCTCTTCTCCCACTGCAGTCATAACTCTGATATTCCCCTTCTGAATTTCTCTCTGCTACCGAGACCCAACTCCACTTTTCATATGAAGGATAGGAAACAAAGAGCAGTGTTAAAAGCTTATATTTTTAAGCAGATAAAGTTGGTACTTAAACATATAAATAAAAAACTAGAGTCCTTAAGGTAACAAAGGCTAGAAAGAGAGGGGACAGCGACAGGGCAAGATATATTATATCCAGCAATGCATGTGGGGACTGAAAACTTTGCAATGATGACAATTAGTGAAGGTATGAATCAACTGAAATTGACAGGGACAATTCTTCGGACATCCCCCAAGGGCTCCTGGACTGCAAGAGGGTGGAGGCCGAGCTGAGGATCACCCGCCCTCTTCCCTTCCCCCAGTGCATGAATATCATGCACTGGGCCTCTAGTTAGAAATATAATTAAAAAGAAATTAAGAGTGTTCGTTTCTTTGTTTGTTGGTTTTTGTTGTAGTGGTCCTAGAGTTCATTCCAGCTAAATTTTTTCTTGAAGCTATTCACCCATACCTAGACACTTTCAAAATTATTTTCAAACCTCCAGACCCAATATGATTAATCAGTGATGTGACACTAGCTGAATGGAGAATATGTTTTATTTTTTTAAATATATATTTTATTGGTTTTTTACAGAGAGGAAGAGAGAGGGATAGAGAGTTAGAAACATCAATGAGAGAGAATCATCAATCAGCTGCCTCTTGCACACCCCCTACTGGGGATGTGCCCACAACCAAGGTACATGCTCTTGACCAGAATCGAACCTGGAACCTTTTAGTCCACAGGCTGACACTCTATTCACTGAGCCAAACCGGTTTCAGCAAGAATATGTTTTAAACTTAAGCATAACCACCATTTGGTATAAAATAGCTAAATAGTAAAATCCAATTAAGGCAACATCTAGATGACTTTCTGAACCACATCCAGCATGGCCAGTGGTGAACCTCAGGAGGGGCAGGGAAGAATTAAAGAAAATGGACAAGAGAATATAGTTGGGGCCAGGTGAATCACTGCACCTGGGTGAAGACACAGTGACCCCGCCTGTAAGCCGAATCTTTATTTTATAGTCAGATCACACAAAGCAAAACAAGAGAGTGGTCAAGATATTTGCAATGTCCTTGCGAGTTTCAAATCTATTTCTTTCCTGTTGTTGCAATTCTCTAAACTCTATCAAGCACTGTTTTGGCAGCACTTGCTGTACCTCTCACAGCCCACATCTCTCAACTACCTAGGACTATAATGTCAGACTATAAGTTCAAGCTTACATACAACCATAGCCTTTGGCTATAATTGTGCTGGGAGGGCTTTGCCCTCCAAACTGGGAATTGTATGTGCCCTCTTGTCAGTCTGAGGCTTAATCCGATCCAAAAGCTGTAGCCACTCTCCACAATTTTCCACCAAAACTACTTCGGCCAACAGAGGAGGGAAGTTGGGAGTAAACAGGCTGGCAGGGGAGCAGTTAGACATCAATCAGGCTGGCATGGGAGTGGTTAGGGGGTGATCAGGTTGGCAGGCAGAAGTGATTAGGGGCAATCAGGAAGGCAGGCAGGCGAGCAGTTGGGAGCGAGCAGTCCTGGATTGTGAGAGGAATGTCTAACTGTCCATTTCAGGAAGTTAACTGCCGGCCTGGTTACCCCTAACTGCCCTCCCCTGAAGGGTTGATCGCCCCCAACTGCCCTCCCTTGCAGGCCTGGTCCCTCCTAACTGCCCTCCCCTTCTGGCCATCTTGTGGTGGCCATCTGTGGTGGCCATCTTGTGTCCTCATGGGGGCAGGATCTTTGACCACATAGGGGAAGCTATCTTGTGTGCTGGAGTGATGGTCAATCTGCATATTATTCTTTTATTAGATAGGATAGAGGCCTGGTGCATGGGTGGGGGCCAGATGATTTGCCCTGAAGTTTGTCCCAGATCAGGATGGGGGTTCCCTTGGGGCATGGGGTTGCCTCAGTGAGGGGCCTTGGTGGCTTGCAGGCCAGCCACACCTCCGACAACCCAAGTGGAGGCCCTGGTATCTGGAATTTATTTATCTTCTTTAATTGAAACTTTATAGCCTGGAGCCTCGTGCTCACTTTGTGGCAGCAGCCATTTTTGTTGGAATTTATGGATATTAAACATAATGGGCAGTCAGACATCCCTCAAGGGGTCCCAGATTGGAAAGGGTGCTGGCTGGGCTGAGGAACACCCTTCCCCCTTGACGTGGCCACCCCCCCTCCCCTGCCATGCACAAATTTCGTGAACCGGGCCTCTACTTTTAAAATAATCTCTGTGCAATCTTCTGTCGCTCTTTTTTCAGATGGGGCCAGGTTATGAATTGATCTCTTAATAATGTTTGGGGGAGGGGCATTTTACCAGCTACAGACTTTATGAACTTAAAACCAGATCATTATCTTCAATATTAACACATCTAGAAACAACCCTGTAATGACACTAATTTTAAAGTAGTCTCTGCTGACTGAAATAAACATAGGGGGGAAATAAATCCCCAAAATGATCAAGCTAGAATATAAGAGAATCTTTTGGAAGCCATAGAAAATAGCTCCTATTTCAAATACACTTGATTAAAAATGTACAAATCTAAAAGTAGATAAAGCAAATGAGGTAAAGACAGAACTTGTTAAAATAATCAAGTTTTGAGAAGCAATGCAGACAATGAAGGGACAGAAGTCTCAAGGTCTGGGCAGTTCTTACTAAATGCTATTCTTAGATGCAACTGTAAGCAGGCTAAGCTTGACAGGAACTCAGCCCATCAATGTAACCAACTGCACAGAAGAAATCAGCATGTAATTGATCACATAGCGTATATAAGCAATGGCTAAGCCTTTTTTCTGGGAGACAGAGATCTGGGTGTGAATCCCTTCTCCGTTACCTGTTGCAATTTAAAAAACAAACAAACAAAAAATAAAAAACTAACAAACCTTTGCATTAACCATGTCTGGTTCTTGTCTAGAGCAGTGTTTTTCAACCTTTTTTGGGCAAAGGCACACTTGTTTCATGAAAAAAATCACGAGGCACACCACCATTAGAAAATGTTAAAAAATTTAACTCTGTGCCTATATTGACTATATATAAAGTAATTCTCTTGAATAGGAATCAAATAAACACAAAGTATTTTATAATTACTTTATTATGAAATATTAAGTAAACAAAATAGTGAAAAATTATAAAATTCTTGTCTTGTCTGCACCTACGGCACACCAGGCAACATCTCGCGGCACAGTGTGCCGCGGAACAGCGGTTGAAAAACGCTGGTCTAGAGCACCCCAAACAGCAAACCCCTTGAGTTTGGTAGCAACATTTTATCGTGTAGCTAACCTCAGACTTTCAATGTGCAAGAGACCGTGGTTTGGCACTTCTTTCTCTCATAAAATCTTGTTGGCACACTTATTATTTATAAATAATAAGTAATTATTTATTATTAATTTATTAATAATAATTTATTATTATTGGCCCACCCTTATGAGCCAGCCCTTTCTGAAGTGTGTGGAGGTAGGAATATGGTACAAGATGATGGGCTCCTAGTGTCTATGGACTTTAACTGAGGGTGCTGCTGTGCTGAGCACCTAGCTTTCAGACAGGGCAGGTGACTGCCTCCTAACCCACAGCTTGGGTAACTTACACTTTTAGGGTGTCACATGTATGGGGCGTCAGTAAATTAGTTAGGAAGACTGGGTGACTGAGAGGTACCGTGAGGCCACCACGCAGAAAGAGTTATCACTTACATATATAAATAGTTCATTCTTAGGATTTCAACCCAGTGGAAGCCGTCAGTTTAAAAGTAGAGGAAACAGATGACTCTGCACGGGGACTTCCTCCGGCTGTTGCCTTCACTGCAGTGGGCAGCTGCAGGCGGAAACAACCACTGCCGTCCTGTTCCGTCCCTACTTTTATTTATTTATTTTTAAATATATTTTATTGATTTTTTTTTTTTACAGAGAGGAAGAGAGAGGGATAGAGAGCTAGAACCATCGATGAGAGAGAAGCATCTTCCAGCTGCCTCCTGCACACTCTCTACTGGGGATGTGCCTGCAATCAATGTGCATGCCCTTGACCGGAATCGAACCTGGGACCTTTCAGTCCGCAGGCCGCACTCTATCCACTGAGCCAAACCGGTTTCGGCCCGTTCCTACTTTTAAGCAGCTTCCGTACAAACACACCAGGTCACGTTACCGGTAAGCACTGGGGCGTGTGTGTGGGGTGAACCCCGGAAACTCGCTCCCTCCCTCCCAGCGGAGCGTGGCCGCCCCTTCCCCCGCCCCCTCTCCGTAGCCAGGGGCGGGCGGCTGGTGCATCCTGGGAGTCGCGGCCGCGGGGATTGTGGGAAATGTAGTTCGGCCGCGCCGCCCGCCGCGCCTTCCTGTTCATGGCTGCTTCCTGGAAGGTAACGTGAGCATTCTGCATTCTCTCCAAAGGATACTTGCATTTCCCCACCGTGTTTGTAAAACGGGGCACAGTTACACCCTGCCGGGCCAAGGCAGGGCTTCTTAAAAAAAAAAAAAGTAATGTTCGTTCCTGGAACGCGTTTGTCTGTCGCTTCGATTTATTTTTAGTTTTTTCTGAATGGGCGAACTAACCAACCTTAAGTCCAACTAACTAACCTTAATTTTACATTCTACCCGCGCTTGCACGAACTGTTCTCTCTGGTTTGTTCATTCTCTCTACGCATTCCTCCCCCTTCCGTACAGCCGCCCTGCTCTGCAATGACTGTAGCTGCCCCCTTAAAGTAACCATTAATAATAATAATAATAAGTAATAATAATTTTAAAATTTTCCCCATCTTCTGATAGTAGGCGCTGTCACGTGGAGCCCCTTAGCCTCCGCATTCCGAACTCCAGGAAGGGAGCACTTCAAGTCAGAGAGCCACACCTACATCGTTTCTCTGGTAAGTCTTACTCCCCACAACAGCAGGGTTTTATGTTGTGTGACTTGTACCAGATTTGTCTGCGTTTCCTGGATGGGAGAACCCATTTGAAAATGTAATTTTTACTACTTAGGATATTTTACATTTCCAAGGGAGTGTTTTGTGCATGTTCAGTTTGCTCTTAATTGTGTTCTTAATTGGTTGATTCACACTGCGTTAGCATGCTTAGTATGGAGAAGCGCTGGAGTTGGTTATCAGAAGGGAGATGAGCCTCAAGAGATCATCTTTAAGGACCTTTCACTTCCCTTTGTTTTTTGTTTTTTGGTTGTTGTTTTTTAATGGAAGAATGAGAATGTGTGTCTGAAATTTAAACTTAAAATGCTATGTTTGTCATATGTTCATACTGTCATTTAAAAGGGTAGAGATTTTAATGGTTTCTTTTCGTTTTCATGTTTAATTTCTGGAAACCTTCCGCACCCAAGAGCCAGCCATCTCAAGATCCCACCACCATGGCCTCAGCCCCAGCACAGCTGTTCCTCGCCCTCCTCTCACTGCTGTTGGAGCTGCCTGCTGTGGAAGCAGTAGAAGCAGGAGATGCAATCGCCCTGTTCTTAGGTGTGGTGGTCTGCATCACAGGCATCTGTGCGTGTCTGGGGGTGTATGCGCGGAAGAGAAATGGAGAGGTGTGACTTCGAAGGGCCGCCGGAGTCAAGCCTTGCCCTGAAAACATTGGAGCTGCTCAGGTTAAAAACTGAGCTTTGGTGTCCGAAAGTTCCCAAGAAACAGACAGTACATAGGGTAATTTTACATTCTTAGGTTTCCCTATAAATGGGGATAAATTAGTATTATAGATGTTAAATGGGGAAAAAAAATCTTTTTTCACAACAAATAATGCTATGAAACATGCAGCCTCTAGTTGCTAGTTAGAAAGATGGTCAAAGAAGTAAGATGGCTGAAATTTGCATAAGTAATATTTAGTAATCTCAGAAATTCTCAAAGCACATGAAATTGGAAGAAGGAAACTCCTGCCCAGAATCCTAGGAAGTAGCCCCTATTCTGTTGTAATTACTGCCTCCTGCATTACTGAGGAGTCTTTTCTCTCTGTTCTTTTATATTTTTGTTTTGTTATCTCCAAGTTAATATTGTACTTAGGTATTTGATATTATAGTCGGTCAAACTTGAAATTTTTATTTCTTTGGGGGGAAAGTAGTTAAAAACTGTATTAGTGTATCTAACATTGAAATGGAGAAAAGATTTAATGTAAAAAAAAAATACTTTGTATTGACATTAAAATAGGGAAGAGATTTAATGTAAAAAAATAAAAGCCTTTATATTAAATGGCTAACAAAGTCTTGGTGAGAAATAGTACCCTATATCATAAAGATGTAATATGCAAATGGTCACTACATAACGACCCACTGTTAAGGACCAGATCACTGGAAGAGCTACAGGAGTGAGCGGGGCAGCAAGCTATGAGGGGCTCAGGAGGGAGCTATAGGAGGGTGGGGCAGCAGTGGAGAGCTGGAGGGTGGCAGGGAGCTACCGGTGCACAGATTCCTGTGCAGGGCTACTAGTATTAAATATAAACCCATTATAAGTTAACGTACAGTGTGTTTCTTTTAAATATACTTTTGTTGATTTCAGAGAGGAAGGGAGAGGGAGAGAGAAACATCAGTGATGAGAGAATCATTAATTGGCTGCCTCCTGCATACCCACACCAGGAATCGAGCCCGCAACCTGAATTGAACAATCCGGGTTCATGGGTTGGTGCTCAACCACTGAGCCATGCTGTCTGGGCATGATGTCTATTTTTGTTTATAGAGATACAATCAGTGAAAAACTAGAAATGCGCATAATCAAGCTAGGAGAGGTTGGTAGAGAATCCACAGATACAGAAGGAAACTATACTGGCTTATACTGATTTATACACCAGCTCAATGATCTTGTTACTTTCCCAAACCATCATTATTACCTGGGGACTTGTTAGAAATACAGAACCTCAGGCCTCCTCCAGACCAGTTGGATCAGAATCTACTTGTTTCAGAGCCCAAGATAACTTGTGTGCACATTTACATTTTAAGAAGATGGATCCAACCTGTTTGAGTCCACAAATTGCCCAATGCACTTGACGAAACTGCATTCCCAGGTCTCTCTCACAGTTGTGTCAGAGTCATTGTAGGCTGAAGCCTGGAATTCTGTTTAACAAGCGCACGCAGTGATGCCTTTGACTCTAGCTGCACCAGTATAGAATAATCTGAGTAAATCAAACTGCTTTCCTTCTTACTGGAAGCAGGTAGTCAAGTTTTTCCTAAAATAATGCATTATCTAATCCCCAGCTCTCCAGGTGATAGTGGAAGCCCTAATTTTGGTCAGAAAACCAGCAGCAACCTTAAGATTCTGTTTACAGGGCATTTCTGCAGGTGTTAGCTGACCTGGCTAATGAGGGGTTTGGTGGCCGGTACCGGGAGTGAGGGACAGATACACTACAAAGACACAAAAACCGAATGTTTCTGTTTTTGTCGTAGCTGTTTTTTGTTTTTTCAACAGAGAAAGCACTAATATGCTTTGTTCAAAAAAATTGGCAGGTACATATCCTTTTATGTAATTATAAAATTTGATTTTATGTGCCTTTTTTTTTTAATAGAAAAAAAAAAGGCACATAAAATCTGTCTCATAAACCAGTCCATGGGTTCGAATGTAGGCAGAGAGGCTGCTGTGGCTTGTATATCTGAACTTTTCAGTTGGCATTGGGAGGAATCAAACCGGAAGTACATTTTAATTCACTGCATTAGTCATTTAGTCATCTCTTCATACTGTTATTTACATGTTCAAAATAGGACTATAGGTAAACGTGCTTTAATGGCATGTATGTCCAAAAGTGCCCCGAAAGAATTAGAAAACTGCTGTTTTCCTATTTTACCCTTAAAAGTAGAGAATTGTCCTGAGGAGGCATTCGGGAATTTTGATGGCTATGATGGGGAATGCCTTCTCTATTTTTAGTCTCTTTTCTCATCTATGGTGGGTTATAGGGTTTTGCTGAGAAGAACAGAAACACAGTGGCTCTTAACCTTTATGGGGCCACCAGCTCCTTTGAGAATCTGACAAAACGTATGCTCATTTTCTGAGGGGGAAAAAAGTCACATATATGCTGGCATTTTTAAATTAATTTTAAGGAGTTCACAGAGCTGAAGCCAACCCCAAAATCCCCAGTTGCAAATTTCTGCTCTTGTATTCCCTCCTTTGAGTTTTTTCCAATCCTGGAATTCCTTGCTTTGCTCTGAAGGATAACGCCTGCTGCTGGAGCAATGTTAGGAAAAATGGGATACACAAATGTCCCCCAACAACATAACTTGTAGATGTCTAATAAATGCTTTGTATATGTTAACTCAAGTGGATCCAGTTCAAAAGGCAGAAGACTAATACTTGAAATCAATAAGAAGTGTTGGTAAACAGCCTATTCTTCTAATGCTAAAAATCAGTGCATCATTTCTCTGTCTGCTTTTAAGACTTTTTCACCATCCTTAATTTTCAGAAGGTTGACTGTGATGTGTCTTATTTTGGTGTTTATCCTGTTTGGAGTTCATTCTAGTTCTTGAACCTACAGGTTTATGTCTTTTCCCAAATTTAGGTAATTTTCAGCCATTATTTTTTCAAAAAAATTTTTTTCAGCACCATTCATTTCTCCTTTTCTTCTGGGACTCCAGTGACCCAATTGTTAAATCTTTTGTTACAGTTCCACTCCTCTCTAGGGCTCAATATTAATTGATTGGTTGATTGATTGATCAAAATATTGATTGATTAGGTAATTTCTAGTGTACTATCCTCAAGTTCACTGATTCTGCTGTTGAATCAGTGAACTTGAGGATAGTTCAGTTCTAAGTTCTCCACTTGGCTTTTCTTTGTGCATTGTGGTAGGAGTGGATGTCCGGACTCCCATGGCCATGTCTGAGCCCATTGACATTTCTGGGTCACCAGCTTTTTCAGGACCTAGTCAGAGATTTATGAGGCAAAATGAAAACCCAGAGAATTCATCACCATGTCTTTCTTCTGGTCTGGAGGTCCTAGACCTTCTGCCTTTTTTTCACCTTTAAGGATCTTTTTATATTTGTTTTATACATCATGTCAGGATTTTTAGCTGTATTTGGTGGGAAAAATAGGCCAAAAAAAGATGTCTATTCTATCTTCCTGGAAGCACAAGTCTGAGTGCATGTTTAAAGAGTGACATATTTGGAGAGAAGAAACATCAGGTAAATGATAAATTCACAGTATTTCACTCACAGACCTTTGTCCTGTGGTCTCTCCCATCTACCCTCCCCTCTTCACCCATCCAGTATATTATTTATTTCTGTATTTACCCAATAAACTCAACGAGGGGGTATGACTAACAAGAATTCAGGAGTGCAGATGAAATTTTAAAAAACGGGCTGTATTCATATTTTATCTCAATAGAGAGTGCAAGTGGCAGCAAACGAATGTGATACCAAATGTACTAACAAAGGAACCAGCCACATCCAGGAAATCTCAGAAGCTACCCATCACCTGCACCTTGGCCCTTTTTGGCTTTCTAAGCTCCGCAGAGCCTTGTCAAATGCCATTTCCAGCTTTGGCTGTAGGAAAGGTAATGCCCATCCAAAAACCTACATAGCCTGCAGCTATTTAGCCTGCAGCACATGATGAAGGGAGAATTACCTGCATAGGAACCATCTCTCTCCCATTGATTCCCATTAGTCTCTCTGGTGACGCTAGAGAGTAAAACTCCTGTTGTTTGGGGGAGCCAAGTTCTTGGGGCACCACTGAAAGAAGCATTTTCAGAAGCCCCCTGGGAAGATGGGATATGGAAGAAAGCTTTATTGGCATGAGTTCCATTTCTCAGGTTGCAATCTCTCATTTCCCCCAAGCCAGTCCCAACTGAGGGGCAGCTGGGAGTTCAGCAGAGCCAGAAAGAAGGCCAATGTTCAGACTTCCCGTTCCATGTTGCAGCTGGTGGCTTAGCATTCAGGCCATATTAAAGTTCATGTGTGGAGCTCAAAATGGCCATGTACCATGTGGGCACAGTGGAGCACAGTCACAGGAGGGCCCTTCACCTTGGAGTCAAAAGAGAGGGAACTTCCTTTGTCTAGAAGTTTATATATTTAGACTAGAGGCCCAATGCATGAAATTCATGCACCGGGCAAGAGTACCTCAGCCTGATTCCTGGATTGGGCCTAAAACAGCAGTCATATATCCCTCTCACAATCATGGACCACTGGCTCCTCATCATTTGCCTGCCTGCCTGCCTGGTCACCCCTAACTGTCCCCTCCCTAGCAGCATGGTTGCCCCCAACTCCCCCCCAATTCAGCCTAGTTGCCCCCAAGTGCACCCTTACCCCTGTTGACCTGATTGCCCCTAACTGCCCATTCCTGCCAGCCTGGTCACCTCTTACTGCCACCCCCCCTGCTGGCCTGGTGGACCCCAACTGCCCCCTGCCAGCCTGGTCAACCCATGCAGCCTGCTGTTCAGTCATTTGGTCATCCCTCACTAACCTTCCTGCCAGCCTGGTTGTAGGTAGCCATATTGTGAGGGCATGATGCTCAATTTGCATATTACCTCTTTATTATATAGGACTATATAAGATTTTGAGAGCATGCCATGGCTAAGCACATCCTGGCCAATTACCTGTTTCCAGGTGCGGTTAATGGGCAAGTATCTTCCCATGGCATTCAGACCTTACTGGACATGCCTCCAAACTCCCTTTGTCCGGTCTCTTTCCCCCTTCAATGAGCTGAGAACAAACTTGGAGTGATAAATGCAGCTTTTTGGCAAAGCTGAACAAATGGCATGCCTATACTATTTAGTCTCCCCTTTCACTCCTTTCCTGTTAAACAACAACCAGGTTATTGCAAGGGTATCTGTGTCCCATTAGGGGTTAAGGACCAAAGCCCTGGAATCCAACATACCTTGATAACCAGGCTCCACCACTTCAAATGTGATCTTAGACAAGCCACTTCTTTTAAATTTCTGTCTCTCTGTCTGCTAAATGGGGATAATAACCGTACCTACCTCATAGATTGATGAGGAATGCATACAATAATGAATGTGAAAGGCTTGGCATGTAGAGTGCTATTATTATTGATATTGGATATTATTGATATTAATTCTAGCATTACTTTTGGATTTAAAGAGGGCGTCTTTAGAAATTTATAAAAACAAATATCATATTAAATAGTTCATTATATTTTAATTTTGACATTTTCTGTGAGTCTGTTTTCTTTACCATAGTTTCCCTCCCCCACCATAGGCTTACAGATTGCTGAAGCTCAAAGACACCTGTGAAGAAAA